CTTAGTGATAAAATCTAAATAATATCCACTTTCTCCATAAGATCTCATGCTTCTAAACGCTAAATAATTTAAATATAGGTTGAGACAAAAAAGTATGATTATATAAAGGCCTACTTTTATCCTCAAAGTATCCCTGTACACTCATTCTTTGTGACATTTCGAGAGGTTCCTATAATATACACTTAACCTGGGTAGTAAAACCAATTCAGAGATGTAGAAAGCAAAAAATAATATACAGTATTTGAAAAATCTTAATCTGTGCTTTATATCCCATAGAAACAAATGAGTGTTAAAGATCTATTCAGTTGGAAGCGGTGGTTCACGCCTATATAGTCCCAGCACTTTGGGAGGCTGAGGCAAGTGGGTCACCTGAGGTCAGGAGTTCAAGACCAGCCTGGCCAACATGGTAAAACCCTGTCTCTACTAAAAATACAACAATTAGCGGGCGTGGTGGCACATGCCTGTAATCCCAGCTACTCAGGAGGCTGAGGCAGGAGAACTGCTTGAACCCAGGAGGCAGAGGCTGTCGTGAGCTGAGATCGTGTAACTGCATTCAAGCCTGGGGAACAGAGCAAGAATACGTCTCAAAAAAAAATAAAAATAAAAATAAAAAATGTACCATTTAAAATTAGTGACTGGCCAGATGCAGTGGCTCACACCTGTAATCCCAAGACTTTGGGAGAAGGAGGCAGGAGGACCATTTGAGGCCAGGAGTTCAAGACCAGCCTGGGTAACATGTCAAGACCCCATCTCTACAAAAAAAAAAAATTTTAATAGGCCATGTGTGCGAACACCTATAGTCCTAGCTACTCAGGAGGCTGAGACAGGAAAATCAATTGAGCCCAGGAGTTGAAGAATGTGGTGAACTATGATCACGCCACTGCCCTCCAGTCCGCCACTGCAATTCAGTCTGGGTGACAGAATGAGGCTCTGTCTCTCTCTCTCTCTCTTTTTTTTTTTTAAACTAGTAACCCATTGAAGACATCCTTTACAATATCTTCACAGATCCTAAGCTTTTAAGATACAACTAAGCACACAGGATCTCTGCAAGCGGGTGAGGATAATGGTTTGTCATCACCAACAAAGGATGTTATTGCAGTTGTTTTTACCAAGAAAGTAAAAGACCAGGTGCAGTGGCTTATGCCTATAATCCCAGCACTTTAGGAGGCCAAAGCAGGAGGATCACTTGAGCCTGGGAGGTTGAGGCTGCAGTGAGCTGTGATCATGCTACTGACAACCTGGATGACAAAGCAATACCCTGTCTCAAAAAAAAAAAAAAAAAAAAAAAAAAAAAAAAAATCAGGAAACAAAACAAAGGAAAGGAAAAACTCAAATCTCATCTGGGAATCTAATCACAGTACTCTTTTCCTTTTTTAAAGAGACAGAGTCTTGCTCTGTCGCCCAGGCTGTAATGTAATGCACGTAGTTCACTGCAGCCTTAAACCCCTGGCCTCAAGTGATCCTCCCACCTCAGACTCTCAAAGTACTGGGATTACAGGTGTGAGCCACCTTGTCCACCCAGTACCCTACTTCTGATTCTTCAATTTAAGTATACCTGAAGAACAGGCAACATTTAACAAGTACCCATTTAGAGAAAAAGCTGTTTGGAGAAGGCAGCCAACTCAGTTAGCTTCAAATCCATCACCAAAAAGAAAAGAAACCACTGAGAAGGTCAAAGACAGTCTCCTTACCAAAGAGTCAAACATCCACTGGACCTGGCAGGATGCAAAGGCACAGCCTCCACGCAACTAAAAGGGCACCTCACACGAAGCAGCTATGCTCTGGGTGCCACAGGAATCTTCCAAACTGTGTGTGGCCTTTACAGATCTTTCATAACATACTTGGCTTTCAGAGACAGCACACCTTTTTCACATTTCACAGAGGTTTTCAGATTCATTCAAAAACTATCAGCCTCCATAAATACATAGTTCTTGCCCAAGCACTTTAAGAACTGTTCTGTAAATAAGCCCTTAGCAATCTCCTTTCACATATTCTTTCAGACTCAAGAAAGGAGGTTTATTAGTCCGTTCTCACACTGCTATAAAGAACTGCCTGAGACTGGTTAATTTATAAAGGATAGAGGTTTAATTGACTCCCAGTTCCACAGGGCTAGGAAGGCCTCAGGAAACTCACAATTATGGTGGAAGGGGAGGCAAAGACATCCTTCTCACATGGCAGCAAGAGAGAGAAGCGCTGAGAAAAGGCAGAAAGGCCTGTTGGAAAACCATCAGATCTCCTGAGAATGAACTCACTATCACAAGAACACGATGGGGGAAACTGCCCCATGATTCAATTATCTCCACCTGGTCCTGCCTTTGTCACATGGGGATTATTACAATTCAAGGTGACATTGGGGTGAGTATATAGAGCCAAACCATATCAGTAGGACTTCCTAGAATACTATAAAAGGTACAAGATGATGTACAAAATTTCCCAAAAATGTTTTCTCAGTTTTTTACTTTAAATAGAGATGAGTTCTCTCTATGCTGCCCAGGCTGGAGTACAGGGCCATTCACCACAATCATAGAGTACTGCAGTCTTGACCTCCTGTGCTCAAGAGATCCTCCCACTTCAGCCTCCCAAGTAGCTGAGACTACAAGCACATGCCACTGTGCCCATATCCAAGACTGTTTTTGGTTTGTTGGTTGATCTGCATTTTTAGGGAGATATTCAGCAGAAACAGGGTGCCACAGTCCCATAAACAGGAAAAAAAGCAGGTGTTTTCCACGTTAAAGAGGTTTCCTTAACTGCAGGGATTCTAGGAGTCACCAATTCTGACTCACTCATGAGGGAGACTGTACATGTAGCGTTTTCCACACGTATTTAACTACTATTTTTGGTGAAATGTCCACACTGACACCAGAGTAACATTCCACATTATAAATGCTGAGAAAGGTTAGCACTTAATACTGCACAAGGCAGCTTGCCTTTGGACAATGATCTGAACTGCATTAACACATTAAAATGTTATCCAGAGAAAAGACCATAAATCAATCTTTCACTATAATGAAGTTATCATAATGCAATCTACATCTAAAAGAGTTAACACATTCTGTTCCTTTCCTATGATTTAGAACTACATAGGCCCCAAACAAGTAATCTGTGGTAACTCTATGAGAGACTCTTCAGTCGCTAAGAAATTCTTGCTGCCCAATAGCTAAGTCTAAATCAAAGATAAATAAAGACAGTACTGTAACCTACATATACATCATTTAATCCCTACAGCAGAGTTCTAACTGCTTTAAAACCTCCACTATGATAACTTTATATCACACAATTACCTTATCAGTTAATCTTCAACCAAGAAACTGTAGTTGTGAATACAAATTTGTCTGTATTAAGTTCTAACACTGACTTTTTTTTTTGGAGACAGGGTTAGTGCTGGGATTACAGTCATGAGACACTGCGCCCAGCCCCACTGACATCTTTTGAAATTCAAAAAACTCCTATGTAGGAGAATCTGGAACTTGATGTGAAGTTCAGAACAGTGACAGCATTCCTCAGCAGAATGACTGTTCCAGATTATGGACCTAACACAGTGAAGTATTTTAATCTCTTTCTCAGAATAACATAATAATGGGCAGCTTTAATCTGCTAATTACATCTCATACGAAATTTATGTCACTCTTCAACAATAAAAGTAACTCAAACAAAATGATTTCACCTAGGTTTTACTGGCTTCTGTAAGAAAAGTATCTTCCTTTTCTGAGACAGGGTCTTGCTCTGTCGCCCAGGCTAGAATGCGGTGGCACAATCATGGCTCGCTACAGCCTTGACCTCTGGACTCAAGTGATCCTCCTGCCTCAGCCTCCTAAGTAACTGGGACCACAGGTGTGTGCAACCATGCCCAACTAACTTTTAAAAACTTTTTGTAGAGGTGGGGGATCTCACTATGTTGCCCAGGCTGGTCTTGAGATCCTGGGCTCAAGCAATCCTTCTGTCTCCGCCTCCGAAAGCAGTGAGATTACACTGTGCCCAGCCTAAGAAAGACCTTAATACACACAATACATCAAATGAAAAAGAAAGGATTTGCTAATGTCCAACAGGTTTTGACTCACTTGTTTCAATGATCTCATCTGAAAGCTGGGTCTATCTTTTTTCGAGCAAAGTTATAAGGCACAATACACTAGCGTGACCATAATACATTTTCTGGAAAACCAAGCAGGTTTGATGACTTCTACTATTGTTGATTAGAGAGCTTGAGTTAGTAAGAGCAATAGACCCCTGATCTGAAGACTTTTTTTTTTTTGGAGACAGATTCTCATTCTGTTGCCCAGGCTGGAGTGTAGTGGTGCAATTTTGGCTCACTGCAATCTCCACTTCCTGGGTTCCACCAAGCAATTCTCCTGTCTCAGCCTCCTGAGCAGCTGGGATTACAGGCACATGCCACCAAGCCTGGCTAATTTTTGTATTTTTAGTAGAGACAGGGTTTCACCAAGTTGATGAGGCTGGTCTGAACTCCGGACCTCAGATGATTCACCTGCCTTGGCCCCCGCTAAAGTGCTGAAATTGCAGGCAGGAGCCACCATGCCCAGCCTAAAGGCCATTTTTAAAAAGTACCTCTCTAGAGTCTGGTTAATCCTGTGCCAAAGCAAAATTTTCTGTTTCCAAGAATCTTAAGGTTTACTTGTCTGCACCAAATAGTCAATTCTGCAGCGTCACCACAGTCTAATTTATGATTGAAGATTAAAAAGCAAGGATGATTTCAAAAGAAAAAATACTAAGCAGATAGTCAAGTTAGAGAACAAGCAGCATAGGAAAATAAAGAAAGAACTCATGAATGCATAAACCAGGGCACAAGACCAAATTAAGGCAGACACAAGCAAGAAGTGAATAAATCCGACTGACCAAAAGTGGGTCACATGTTTACCAAATTAAGTTTCCTATTCCTCGGGATTCCAAGCCTTCCTTAAAGAGCAGAAAGCATATTTATTTCATCATAATGCTAAGATCATTCCCTACTACAAACACTGGCAAGTCCCAAACGCAACGCTGCTCACCTCCTGGTCTGTAGACAACATCATCTTCAGTGATGTAGGATGTTATCTCGCCAGTATCTGTCCTTTCGTAACGAGACTTTTTTTTCGGTGGTTTCTTCTTGTTCTTCTTCGTGGACTCCTCTGCGGTGGCACTATTGTTGTCATTGTCCTCATCTTCACTGTGATCACTCTCGGCATAATTTTTGGCGCCTCCTTCCAAGGTACAGCTCCGCCGTGGCCTTGAATTCTCACTCTCTCTCGCTTTGTCTCTTTTCTCTCTCTCTCGGTCCCGGTCTCGGTCCCGGTCCTTCTCTTTGTCTTTGTCTTTGTCTTTGTCTGCTGTCATGATTCGCCACGTGCCTTCTTCTGTCCTCTCACGGCTAGGCCTCCGTGAAAGGTAGACAGTAAGCCTGGGCTTCAGTCTTCTGAATTTCTCACTCAATTCCAGGGAAAATCCAACCACTCCAACAACCCCAACGTTTCAAAAATGCTAGAAGAAAAAAAAAAGATTTTACATTAACGCCTTTTCATATTTCTTTCCTAAAATAATGTTTTGTTAAATGAATCTCTTACTTATTCATGCTTTACACCTAAAAACTTCACACGAGCCACAGGAGAAAAATTAAGATAAGTGTTAAAATTTTAAAAATACAGCTGGGCGCGGTGGCTCAAGCCTGTAATCCCAGCACTTTGGGAGGCCGAGGCGGGTGGATCACGAGGTCAAGAGATCGAGACCATCCTGGTCAACATGGTGAAACCCCGTCTCTACTAAAACTACAAAAAATTAGCTGGGCATGGTGGTGCGTGCCTGTAATTCCAGCTACTCAGGAGGCTGAGGCAGGAGAATTGCCTGAACCCAGGAGGCAGAGGTTGCGGTGAGCCGAGATCGCGCCATTGCACTCCAGCCTGGGTAACAAGAGCGAAACTCCATCTCAAAAAAAAAAATTTTTTTTAAATACAGTTTTTGGTCTCAGCTAGCAAATGGTTTGGGGTTTTCTACCATATCAATAATAAAAACTGTCTGAATGCATAAGAGTAAACTATACTGCCTCTACCCTACATGTTTTCTCCTTTTTAAAGAAAAACCAAAGCAATATACCCTGGTAGACAACATATAATGAGTATTATTATACAAAAGGAGCTTCATAACTCATAATATTAATTTAAAGAGGAACAAATCCATAGTAAAAATTATTTCCAGGCCAGGCACTGTGGCTCATGCCTATAATCCCAGCACTTTGGGAGGCCAAGGTGGAAGGAATGCTTGAAGCCAGGAGTCAAGACCAGCCTTGACAACAAAGCAAGATCCCATCTCCACCATAAAACAAAATATTTCTACTTGAAAAAACAGTAATAGTTTGCAGAGCTGTCAAAAATGTCTCAGGATATCACATAGAGCACTATACTCTGAAGGCATTTTCTGGCTACTTCTACAAACTCCCAGGCTCCCTTCAAGAATAAAAAATATTTAACTCAAATGAAAATGAGAGCTTCAAAGCAAGATTTTTCCACCATCAGATACATTTTATACATCTTTTCATCCTATCATTTCAGTTATGTTCCAAGGAAAATGATTTCTCTAAAGATGTTTTATTGGCTGGGCGTGGTGGCTCACACCAGTAGTCCCAGCACTGTGGGAGTCCAAGGCGGGTAGATCACGTAAGGTCAGATGTTCAAGACCAGCCTAGCCAACATGATGAAACCGCATCTCCACTAAACATACAAAAAAGTAGGTGGGGATGATGGTGCACACCTATAGTCCCAGCTACTTGGGAGGCTGAGGCAGGAGAATCGTTTGAACCTAGGAGACAGAGGTTGCAGTGAGTCGAGATCACGCCACTGCACTCCAGCCTGAGCAGCAGAGAAAGACTCCGTCCCAAAAAAAGAAAATGTATTATCTCTGCCTTAACAAACCATAACAGCTTCCAGAAATAACCTTCCATCTTTAGGGAATATTAGGTGGTTTTTACAGTCTTCCAAATTTCTACTATAAGTATCATCCCTAATAAAGTGCTCCTCAAAGCTAAACCCAACAAGAAAAGTCTGAGGTTTTTTCCCACAATAGACTGCCTGTAAGCTTGAAGAAAAAAAAAAAAAGAAAGAAAAAAAAGAAACGTCTGAGGTTTTTAAGAGTTTACAATGGGAGACTAGGCGCCATGGCTCACGCCTGTAATCCTAGCACTTTGGGAGGCTGAGGTGGGTGGATCACCTGAGGTCAGGAGTTCAAGACCAGCCTGGCCATCATGGTGAAACCCCACCTTTATTTAAAAAAATTTTTAAAAACTAAAAAAAAAAAGAGTTTGCAATGGGAAAAGTGAATCCCAAACTCCAACCCAACACAGTTCTTATAGAAATTTTATAGCAGAAAAAAAGTTTTTCTTTATAAGTCAGTTTTGGAATAGACCTAATAATAAATTTATAAATAAATAATTTATCTTTTGTGTTTTTTTTGTGATCTTCCCTAATATCCTATCTCACTTATTCAACGAATCTTTACTAAATACCATGCGCCAGGTGTTCAGAACTAAAACCACAATGGGGGAGAAAACTCATGGTCCTTGTTCTCAATGCTCAAATGAAACAAAAGAGGGCAACTGGTCAGTCCTAGAAGCTTCTGTTTCTCATGAAGCTAGGGCAAGAAAGGAAACAGTGCATGTAAACAAAGCAAAAGATTGGTCCTCTTAACAACAACCACAAACAAATCAGTCTGCAGTTACATGCTTCAGATGCAGAAAAAACTCTCTTTGGTTATGCTAAAACCATAACAATTATGGTATATTCTCTGCAGAGCTCTTAGGTCAAACCTCATACCAGAAAAGACCTCCTCACAATCATCTCAAATATTCTTAGACATTCAGCAAAATAGGAGGTATTAACAGCCTTTGGGAGATAGGTGATGAAGGAGCAATCATGTGTCTATAAGCTGAATTAGAAGGAAAGCATGTAGCATAAAACTAGATTACTTCCTTCTATGTAAGACACATGCTTTCAAATAGGATTTCCATTTTCTAAACATATTTCAAGAAAAGGAAAAATTCTTCTACGCCTATGAAAGTTTTGCCCAGATGAATCATCTGCTACATGGATATTCATAAACTCCCAAGTCCCAGCAGGCTACTAGTACTAGCAACTGAAAATACAGAGACCTACTACTTTCTCTATGAGTCTTAAGTTTAGAGCAGGAATGAGCCAATCAGGCAAGAGAGAAAACTATCAGCTAACACTGTTGTTAAAACATTCCTCTTTGACCCTGAAAACCTAACAAGGTCTACTGGGAATCCAAAAAGAATGAAAAGCTTGGGCTGAAAACTTCCCCACTACAACCGCAGTTTCACACAGAAACACTTCTCAGTTTAAGAAAAATAATAATTCTCCCTGGGATAAACAAGATAACTGCTCCAGAAAATTATGTAGAAAACATTTTTTCAGCACTCAAAGAAAAAAAAAAATACTAAGTCCAAATTGTACATTCAACACCACTCACTACAAAATCATATACTGTTTCTATTTACAAAGAAAATAGAGTTGTTTCTGCCAAAGTGAGCAAGTTAAAAAAAATCAAGAAATAAAGATGTCTATAAAATAAAATCCAGTATATATGTGTATGTGTATATTTATAAAATCAATGTTTTGAGTTATCTGAAAGTTGGCTCTATTTATATATTACATTATCTGCATGTTATATTACTATTAAATTATCAGAATTAATACTACATCATTTATATATTAATGTCATATATTTATATATCTAACTTTCAGGTAAGTATGAACATTAATAATCCAAGCAAAAGTCAATCCAATTACCATTTACGTTTGGCTCTAAAATACAGCTCAATGGGAATATATTTTTTCCTCTACGTTTAACATACAAATCATAATTCTTCTGCGCCTTAATGTACAGTAATCAACACATACCACGATGTGACAACTGAAGAAAGGGACCCAGAGAGGAACCAGATGGCACTGAGAAGGAGAGTTGTCACTTCAATTTGCTAGAAATGATCTACAAAGTAGATGATACAACAACAGCGTCTTTATTAGAGCAACATGAGGTTTACAGAGCAGGTCCCTCATTTGATTCTTTCAACTCATGAAGTGAACTGGACAGAAGTTGTCATCCTCACTTTACAGTCTACAAAACTCAGAAGAGATCATCTGCACAAGGCCACGCAGCCAGTGAGCACAAAGCAGGATTCCAGCACAGCTCTCACAAAGCTCAACCCTATCTGACCTGCACAGGAACTCCTGCTGCGTGTGCTGCCAGGGTCTCCAACTCTTCTTCACAGGCACCAACTTCTCCTCTACTCACTCATGCTGATGATGCACACAGACAGATTTAAGAAACACACTCACTCTGCCCCCAAAGCTATTTTTCTCCAGTAAGAAAGCCAAAAACATTGGAAATGTCTGTGTCAATCACTGCCCAACTCAGTGAAACAGGAAACACATTATAACATACTTTAAAAAAAAAAAGGAAGAAAATCTAATCTAGACTACATTTCAGATTTACAACAAGCTTCATCTACTCAGTGAACAAATGTCAACTGAACGCCTACTATGTGCTACTTACTGCTCTGGGTGTTGGTAAACAGCAGAAAACCCAATACAAAAGCCCCTGCCTTGATCCTGAGCTTATGTGCTCAGCAGTGGAGACAGATCATCAACAAAAGGCACCATACCTAATAAGAGGAGATCTTCCGTAGAAAATTTAAAGAGGACAGACAGTGTGGCAGGACTGCAATTTTAAACAGGATGGTCAGGGAAGGCCTCTCTGAGGGGACTTTGACCCTGAGTAGGAGTATTAGAAAGGAAGCCAAGGACACATGAAGGGAGGTGATTCCTTGAGAGGGGAAAGAAGTGCCAAGGTCCAGAAGCAGGAATGAGCCAGGCACACTCAAGACGTACTCAACGAGTAGCACAAGAAGGGGGAGAGAGGTCAGAGTTAAGTTCAGAGGTGAAGGGGCAGAGGGAGGAAGACCTGGATTCTGGCAGGCCATGTGGGTCAGGGAAAGGACTCTGGCTTTTACTCAAGTGAAATGAAGTTACTCGAATGACACTTCAGCAGGGATGTGAGTTGCAAAGAAAGGCATGATCTGACTTCTGTTTACAGGAGATCACTGGCCACTGAGAAAAAACTCAAGGGATGCAGGGGGCTGGATCACCCAGGGAAAATGAGCGGCAGCTGGGAAGCAATAGGGTCATAGCAGCAGAAAAGGGGAAAAGTCTCGTGTTTTGTATGTTTTAAAGATGAGAGTCAAATAAGATGTGCTGATAAACTTGTGAGGTGAGGTGTGAAACAAAAGGGGACAAAAGAAAAAAGGAAGCTGGCCTGGATGATGAAGCTGCTATTTGAGTTTCATGGGGAGACCAGAAGCTTGGGTTTGAATGTGTTAAGCTTGAGAAGCCTAGAAAATCACATAGTCTAAGTTGGCAGAGATCCAGGCTGGAGATAATAATTTCATTTTTAAAGCCATGAGACTATGAGTGATATCACCCAGAAGTGAAAACAATTTTTTGACAAAAATTTTAAAACTCATAAAAAACATTTATTGCTCACGCTTGAGTGGAAAGGATATTCAAAACAGACTTACAAGTTAAATATTTCCAAAAGCAGTACCCATAGGACTTTTTTTAAGTATATTCTTCTCACTCATTTCCTGATGAGAAGATTATACATCATCATTTCATCTTAAGTAAGAAAATGTGGTCGGTTGTCTTAGCTGTCTGGATCTAATCAAAGCTCAGATAACAGCAGCTTCACCCATTTAGCTGAAGGTGATTCCTCACAGTTTTTTGACCCATTTGATTCTTAATCTAGGGAAAAGGGTCAAAGTTTTCAACAGAGTCAATATACAGAACTACTCTTCATTTTAGATTACTTCAGTCTCTACAAACACCATCTTATATCTTCAAACTGAAGCCACCACCACCCACAAACACCTCAGACTACTTCTCAAAAGCAATTCAGATAAAGCACAAACCTTTCAGTCATGCTCATGGTCCAAATCTCATTTAAGAACACCACTTCCAGCCGTGCACGGTGGCGCACGCCTGTAATCCCAGCACTTTGGGAGGCCGAGGCGGGTGGATCATGAGGTCAGGAGATCAAGACCATCCTGGCCAACATGGTGAAACCCTGTCTCAACCAAAAATACAAAAAAATTAGCTGGGTGTGGTGGTACCTGCCTGTAGTCCCAGCTACTCAGGAGGCTGAAGCTGGAGAATTGCTTGAATCCAGGAGGCAAAGATTGCAGTGAGCTGAGATCGCGCCACTGCACTACAGACTGGGTGACAGTTCAAGGCTCCGTCAAAAAAAAAAAAAAAAAAGAAAAACACTTTGTGACTGGGCAGGGTGGCTCATGCCTATAAGCCCAGCACTGTGGGGATGACAAAGTGGGGAAATGACTTGAGGCAGAGAGTTTCAGACCAGCCTGGGAAACACAGCAAGACCCCATCTTTACAAAAGAAAAATAAATTTAAACGTTAGCTACGCATGGCGGTGCACACCTGTAGTCCTAGCTACTTGGGAGGCTGAAGTGGGGGGATTGTTTGAGGCCAGGGGTTCGAGGCTACAATGAGCTGTGATCACTACCACTGCACTCCAGCCTAGGGGACGGAAATCCTGTCTCTAAAAAAAAAACAAAAAAAGAAAACCACTTCCTGTCAGTACTTCAGTTTAAAGAAGGGGCCCAGGACAGAACTGGGAATAGTGGACTGAGAAGCCAAGAGCCGAGTTCTTAGCACTGCTACTTGTTGTACTGCCTTGGGCGAATCACGCTACCTGTTTGAGTCACAGTTTCATTGCTGCAAAAGGAGGCAATACCTACCTACTTCACAGTGCTGCTGGTGTGAATTATAAAAGTATACCATATGTAAATGTACTTAATAGATTGCAAAATGCTTTACAAATGTAAGAGATCAATAATATGTATTTCAGTAATGATTTACTATCTACTATGATAGATAATAAGCTATGCACGATATAAAGGTAGCCCAAACACCCCTAACCACAAGAAACTTATCTATTTGGGCAGAGGGGTAAAATCTATCCAGTTCCATGATTAAGAAATAAATCATGTAGAATTAACTACAAATGAAGGGAAAAAATAAAATATCTTCTCTTCAATCATGTAAAACTCACCTCTCCATGGAAATCTGCCCTGCCCTCCTAAGTTCCCAACCCTTGAGCTCTACTCATCTCCATTGCTCAAGCCAGGCTATTTGTTAGGATGCTTGACTTTCAACTAAATACAGTGAGTGAAGTCCTCCAACTAATTTTTCCTCATTCGAGCACAGTAGGACATATTTACATTTTTCAAATGCCCGACCACACTCTAGGCCTTCTGCTTAGCACTCAGTCTACCAGACACATCCTGAATACCTCTGTAATGGACCCACTGCTCCACCTGAATCTTAGCTTACCTACTTCAAGCCATCATCATCCCTCACACAGATGAATACAACTGCTTTCTAACATGTCTTTGTGACTATAACATTGTTTGCCTTTGTCTTCCCTCCCAATCTGTCCTCCAGTGCAGCCAGCCAGCACATCTGACATCCCACCACTTTTTTCAGTAATAGCTCGATTGAGATATAATTCACATGCCACATGAATAACCATTTAAAGCATACAATTCAGTGCCCACCATTCCTTTTCAAAGACTATGGGACTGCCCCTTCACCTTTCCAGCCTCACCTCTCCCCTACTGCTTCCACCTCCACCCCTCCAGAGTGCTCATGCTGCCTTGAGACTTTCCTTCAGTCCCTAGAACCCAACTACTGGGAATATTCTTCCCCACCCCTTTGTCTGTGTACCTTCTACTGACCCTCAGAGTCTTCAGCATTTCTGCTTTCCAACTCCAGGAGGCCTTCCAGACCTATGTAGAGTCCAGGCTTCTCTTTGCCCCATAATCCTGCCTGTAAAATGGCCCTCATCAATCCCACTATTCTTATCAGTTGTTAACTTACATCACTTCCCCACCAACTGCAAAGTCCATGAAGGCAAGGACCAGGGGTCATAATCCGTAAAACAACTCCCCTCAAGCAATTTCCTCTCTGCAGCAAATCCAGGAGAGCATTTTCCTCATTATTATTTGACTATTCTGCAGCAGCTGACAGGGGCTGGTCACACACCCTCCCGGATAGTCTCTTTTCCTTTCACTTTCTAGACATGATCCTCTCCAGGGCCTATCTAACTGCTCCCTCCATTTCTTGTACTAGGCCAACCAGTGAAGGAGTTCTATTGGGGCACTCCCTCTTTTCTCATCCTCTCCTTCCTACCTGCCCAACCTCACATAATAATACATTCTTCAGCTCTCAGATGGATGTACACATGCACACTTCTACCAGACTCCTCCTTCAGCTTCAGATGCAGGTGAAAACTGTTCATCTGGGGTCTCTTCTCAGGTATCTCAGAGGAACCTCAGAATGTCCAAACCAAAGGCATACTCTGGCCCCAGATCGGCCCCACTTCTAGCTGTTCTCAGATACTAGGGTCCCTGCCCATTATGTTAGACAAGCTGGTATACAAGTGCCTCCTCTCTTTAGTTCCCCCGCCCGGCTTTGAAACAAGGTCTCACTCTCACTTAGGATGGAACACAGCAGCATGATCATGACTCAATGCAGCCTTAGCCTCCCAGACTCAAGCTATCCTCCTGCCTCAACCTCCCGAGTAGCTGGGACTACAGGCGTGCACCACCATGCCTTGCTAATATTTAAATTTTTTGTAGAGACAGGGTCTCCCTATATTGCTGAGGCTAGTCTTGAACTCCTGGGCTCATGCAATCCTCCTGTCTCCTCTCTTTAATCCCCATATCCCATATCAACAAATTCTCTCATTGTTACCTTATGAATTTCTCTCAAATTTGTACCTCCAAACACCTCCAACATCACAATTTTAGTGCAATCTACTAGTATGGCTTTCCTGGACCACTTGGATCAGGTTCTTGATGAGTCTCTTCAAATCTACTCTGCTGAACTCCTACAATTCTTTTTCTGTACTGCAGCCAGGGTGTTCCTTTAAAGGGCTAATGATACTATGTCAATCCGCACTTTAGAATAGTTTAGTGACTTCTCACTTTGTTACATTAAAAACCCAAATCCTTATCATGATCTACAAGGTACTTATCCTTTTTTGGCTTTGTCTCACAGCACTGTCTTGCAGTCCACACCCAGCGATACTATCCCTCCCTCGGTTCCTTGAACACACCACACTCCTTCCTACCAGGGGCCCTTTGCTCATGTTCTTCCTACCCTTTGTAATTCTCTTCTCCCACCGAGGTGCCTTCAAGTGCAGAGGACTGCTTTCTTGTCCAAAACAACCAGGTTATTAAATTCCCTTCATGGCACTTTCCACAACTGTAGTTCTACATTTACTTGTGTGATTTGTTAACTCTATCTCTCCCTCCCAGCTAGAAGTTCCATGAGGGACTGACCCTTGACTGTTTTTTGCCTTCTGCTGTATTTCCAATTCCTAACTCACTGCCTGGCACAGAAAGATAAATAATACATTATTTCTTCCTCCTTCCCACCCTCTCACACATAAGTTGGCTTTTGCTTGGGAGAGAAAATATTTCATGAATAAATAACGAAGAGGTACTTGATTTGGTTCATAAACCATGAGTAAGATAAGGAGATGCAAAGAGAAGGAGAAAGACATTCCAGGTGGGAAGAACTTAAGAGAGTGTTCAGTTAAATAGCAGCTGCAGAGGAAAAACAGCAGTACAAAGTAAGTTCAAGTAGAACAGGTGGAAGGGATAATGGAACCCCCCAAAATAATAAATCAGCTAACACTCACTAGGCACTTAATATGCACTAAACACTTTACACATGCTAACTCACTTAATCTTCAGTATAACAAAGGTGAAAATATAATTTATGATTCAAACTGGGTACATCTGAGAGTGAAAAAAGATACAACAAATAACTATGCAGAAAAAACATGAGAGCCAGGTCATATGATCAACCTAGCTATAACCTTATTCAGTCAGTACTATTGTTATATATATCTTATTGATGCAAAAGCAAGCACTGAGAGGCTAAGCAAGTTGACCAAACTCATACAACTATGTGTTAGACCTAGGATATGAACTCAAGCAGCTGCCTCAAGGGCCCACATCCTTAACCACAAAGCTATCCTGCCTTAAATTACATGGCCTTAAAAGCCAAGTTATCCAACACAGTAGGTTAAGCAAAAAAGATGCTCTTGTACACTACTGAGATGAAAAGAGCATTCTGGGAACATTCAACTTATCTGGCAGTAGGAGATGTTTTCCACCAAGAGTTGTTAGCGTCAGCCAAACAAGCTTGCTTTCAAATCCATGTTCTCTGAAAGCCTAAGTAAGGAACTGAGGCACCTCAGGTACTTTTGCCTGTGTCATTTCTGCATTTATTGTGTATCCAAAACACGTGTCAGCATCCTCCTTTAGGAACAAAGGAGACGGTCCACGTGTGGAAGACCTA